CCCCCCCAGTTGGTATGCATGTGCCCAAGATCCCAAGAGAAGGAGGAGAAGGAATTGGAGTGGTCATTTCCCTTTGGCGGGGTGCTTTTTCCACTTTCTCTGTCCTTAGGGCAAGCGCATGTACCCTACAGCAAGTTTTTAAAAAAGACTTTTGCAATGGTTTTATCTCATCCTAATTACCTTGTCTTTAGAAAATGTGTATAATATCAACCAGTGTTGATCAGTGGTTTGCAGAATGCTGTGCAATCACAGGTGTTTCAGTTTTTTAGCTTTCATTGCATACATGTAGTCTGTGGAAGTAACACGGTACATATGTTGTAGTATGCACTACCTGTTTTTAAATATGCCATTTATGCTTCTTGCTCTAGATTTCCACGCTGTTTACACCTCAGCCCACCTGTCTTATGGTACCTAATGACAACTCAGGTCTCTGCTACTTCTCCCCAGCCTCACATTTCAAAGTGATACATCTTTCCTCTGGCTGTATACCCAGTAGGTCCTTCTTTGACTAGTGACTTTTTTTTTTTTTTTTTCCTTTTTGGGAGAGGTTTTTGCTATAGGGCGCGTGCGTTCACCAGACAGACAGAGAGAGACAGAGAGATAGAAAGCGAGAAATCACCCCCCCAGGGGGGATGGCCACACTGCAATCCCTTCTCCTCCATTCTCTTCTTGGGATCTTGGGCACGCACACACATGCTCCCAGCGTGACTTTAAGCTGCTGGGTCTGGGACTCAAACCGCTGTCGACTATGTGGGAGTCCAGCGACATAATCATTACGCTAACTGCTGGTCCCGACTAGAGACTTTTTTATTTGTGCTTTGAAAATACCATTTATGGGGGTGCTGAGCAGGTGGCATTGCTAGTTAAGGGCACTGGGCTCCACATGGCCAACCACCATGGTTCAAGTCCCAGACCTGGCGGCTTGCTTTCTCACTATCACTCTCCCTCTCTGGTAAAACGAAATACTACTACTACTAAATAAAATAGAATAAAATAATTTTAAAAATCTCACTTATCGTTCAGTATACTTCTCTTTATTCTTAACCATGTTCTTTACCTTGACTTAACGAAAATCCAGAAATCACATCTCACCCTACTCTGCCGTATTTTATCCCGTGACTGGGTGGAAGAGAAGAAGGAATAAACATTTTGTTTTTCTTTACTACTCTAAACCACGTGGGAGGTGTTTCATGCAATTTTAGCAGTTTCTCTAAAACCTCAGTGCTGTCACCTAACCTCCCACAAAAACCCAAACCTAGTGCATTATATTTTTTCCTATGTTCTTTTTCTTGCTATCATTCTCAGTGTTTCTAGCACCTTTTTGAGTACTCTGATCTCATAGTTCCTCAGCATGAGATCGTTGATTTTCTTTTGTGTTTTCAAACTAGTTGCATATCAGAATCACTACAATTTGGACCTCATCTATGATACTGCTTTCCTTTCTGCCCGATCCCTATTACTTTATCCTCTTTACCAGTCAACCTTGCTGTTATTGCAAACCCATAGAATCAGCTTTTGTCCTGTTTAGTTTCTCTTGATTCTTGACCTTTTGCATTTCATTGAGTCTGCCAGTACCTTATGGCTGCCTTTAATGCTAATCAGCTAGACCTCTGGCCAGCCACTTTGATAATATCCTCATCGCTAACTTATTTTTTTGGGGGGGGTGGTCACAAATAGGACTTTTAAAAAATTATTTATTTTATTTTGTTATTATTTTTTAATTTGATGAGAGAGAGAAAGAGAGAAAGTGAGAGAGTAAGCCGCCAGGCCTGAGACTTGAACCATGGTCTGCCATGTGGGAGTCCAGCACCTTAACCACTATGCCACCTGCTAGCCCACAGATAGGACTTTTTATTTCTCACTCTTTTTTTTTTTTTGAGAGGTTTCTGCTATAGGGCGCGTGCACTCGCCAGACAGAGAGAGACAGAGAGATAGAAAGCGAGAAATCACCCCCCAGGGGG